CTACTACTACTACTACTACTACTACTACTACTACTACTACTACTGCTACTGCTACTACTTCTACTACAACTACTACTACTACTACTACTGATCTCCATATTTTTTTTAAAAATCTGTTTTGGAGCCCAAAAATCACTTTCCATTTGGATTTTGGTGAGCTGAACACGAAAATCATGGTGAATTTAAAAAAACAACAACATTAAGGTCTAGTTTTCAAGATATTCAGGTTTTCATGTTTTACAAAAAATAAAAAAGTGCTGAAATATGAGGGTTTCTTCCTACTTGTGTGACTCATTGCTTCTTGACATACCTCTTGTATTCAAGTTCTTGTACATTTCTTGTCATTAACCAACACTGATCTGTTAACATATTGTTATCACTCCATTTGCCGTGATGTTGCTTAATTTCAATAGCTGAATTATCTTTTTGAAAACGTCTCATATTTTCATCACCCACAGCAGTCGTAAGACTGTCGACATCGCTACATGCAATCAGGTTGCCCTTCATTGCAAAAAGCGGCCGCATCATTGTCAATTGTCACGATTTGTAAATGTCGTTCTCATTCTCAGACCGTCAGCGAGCAAAAAGCCATTGCTGGAGCCTTGAACCCAGCGCTTTGCTTTTTGGCAGTTTTAAGTCTATAAGAAGGTCGCTCAGTCCGTATTGCGTGATCATCATAATATTGTTGTGTGATCTTGCTGGAAAGTTTCAGGTTCATCTGATGCTGAAGCTTCAGCTTGTTCTTCACTGAAGTCTTCTCTCACATCTTTCAATTCAGTAATAGTTTCTGTTTCGACAGGAATGGTAAATCTTCGCTGTGTGGTACTGGGTGTCGAACAGATGGAATACCAATTCATGATAATCAAAGTTGAGATTCTTTTGTTGACTTGCATGCTATGTTATACATTTGTATAATATTTAATTTGCATGTCAGATCAATTTCCATTTTTCTTACCCTAAAATTCCGACAGCAAATTTCCACATATCTTTTGTAATTTAAAAAATGTCTGATCCATGTGTACGGTTTTTTCAAATATGTCTAGAACCGTACTTACTTCCCTGGTGAGCGGCTAAAGTTTCTTAGTTTTGCGGTTACTGGTGTCTTGCTTCCACTGTGTACGACTACGAGGGCAAAGGCATTCATGAACGCATACTAGTCAAAATCATTGGCACCATGTCCCGGTGACATGAAACAGTTCCTTACTTTCTAATATTTTTTCCATTATACAGGTGATGCACATATTTTATACCCTAGTTCATCTATCCTTTTAGAAACAATGATTTCCCTTATATTTCATGTTTCGGTTATTGAACAAAGGTCCCATTGGTATCGAGGAACTAGATTCCTTTTTCATGGGGAGCATTTCGATCCATGTGTTCACCACACTCTCCCAACTTGTTCTTTGCATCTGGCTGCACAATACACAAGTAGCAGCTATCTGAATGCTTGCTTTGTTCAACCCAAACCACTGGCACTGCAAGGGCCATTGGTATCTTTTCCCTTAGCAACCAATTGCGATCAGGGGCGAAGGCTGACTTGTTTGACAGGGTAATCAAAGTGAAACGGGACCAGATATGGCCTGTAGATATGACACAAGAATTGAGTTGTGAAGGAAAACAAATCCGGAATTCATATTGTATGTTCAACCGCCAAAATAATCGGGAAAGTATCTTATTAAATATCAGTTCCAACTAAAATTAAATTTAACTTTAGATGTGAATACATAAACACAAAGCAAAGAAGCAGAGACGTCAGTGCTAGATCTATATGTTATAGATCTACCAGTGAGTCTAACTCTTTGGTAGAACATGACAATTATCATTTTTTAAATTTTACATTTGGCTGTTTTTGTTAGCATTCCGCGGCCAGGAGCTGGTGTCATAATCGAGGTCACGATTTGATTATCATTATAGGACGGTAAAAAGTCGAGGAAAAAAAGCAAGCACTTGCAACAGTGAAGAGATTGTTAGGAGTTAGTTCCCCTTACATTTGTAAGGTAGACTCGACCAGCGTAAGTTAGCTTACTTAATCAGGGCTGGTGTTTGATTTTAACTGTGGCCCCAAAGGGGTGAACAGGGTATATGTGGCAATGAAACAGCTTTGACTGCCATGCACATGTTCCCTTCAACTCTATTCCAGCCTCACTTTATTTGTTGATTACGAACGTCTTTTGACATTTAATTTATGAGGTTTACGTTCAAGGATGAATTTGACAGCGACAATGTTTCAAAATTAGAAAGGGAAGCAGTGATTATTTGATTATATAGACGCTTCGCCCCTGATTGCAATGGTTTGTGACACAGGTATTGCAGCATACATCAGGAGCCCAACTTTTGTCTTGGTCTCTAAGTTCACATCTAGAATAAGTTGACAGGCTTTTTAAAGTTTGTTGTTGCTAATCTCTTTTGTGCAGTATTTCGACGCAACTATCACAGAAATTGTCAGGATTGTTTACACTATGACGAGGCATGATGGTTGACCTGGAGTAAAGTGAGCTGTTTCTGGTTCTGAAACACACTGTTTGCTACTAAGTGAAAACTAAACGGTCACAATTAAAATTCAATGAAGCAACAAGGCAAAAATGTTGCATCGTACCACTTTGAAACTGATGCTACTTTCATACAATTACATTACAGAATAAAAACTTTTGCAGCCTAAAAAGACCGTTCCCAAGTGCCCTTTGTATTTTTTCCTTATATAAAATAAGGAAATACGGCATCAAGCTATAGAATATCTGAATAAAACAAAAACAACTGAACCTAAATATAAAAAGCGAGCATCATTTTCGAATTTAGCGCCCCAAAATTTGTGAACAAACAACTGATTTCAAGCCGGAAGCAAATTCTTTGTTGACAAGTTTAAAAGGGGTAGGCTTTCGTTAGACAGCAACTGTCCTTATCACCATTCAAGGCCTGGTTCTCAAAATACAGAGTTAACCCTGGAAGCGCGCAGGCCTTATATAAAGGGCGTGAGCTGGGCTACCCGGGAAGCGCGCACGCCCTATATATAGGGCTGACCTACTTCGACCGGGAAGCGCGCAGGCCCTATATAAAGGGCATAGACGCTGACCCTTTTCAATGGAAAATTCCAGTGTTCCTTATATGGAAAATGACGTAGTCAATTACAGGCCAAAGTTATAAATAGTGACCAATGACTTTGCAAGTTATCTTGACCTCGTTAATACCGACCAATTATGTTGCGACCAAAACGTACTGTGTAAAAAGAGCACACACACACACACACACACACACACACACACAGACACACACACACACTCACACAAATACACACACACACACACTCACAAATACAAACACACACGAACACGCACACACATACATAACTATACACACATGCACATACACGAACGCATTCACACACACACATACACACACACACAAACACACACACACACACACACACACACACACACACACACACACACACACACGAATGCATTCACACACATACACACACAAACAAACAAACACACAAACAAACAAACACACACACACACACATCAAGCCGACAACCCGGCCCAATCCAGTCATGAGGAACCGGTTACTTGAGAAGTATCAGCCTGTGAGAGTAAGTAAATAAAAACAAAACAAAGATAGACGAACGAAAGTAGATTAAATTACCCTAGATTCTGTTCTTTCCGGAGCAGATGTCCTATAATATAGGGATCCACAGACCTCAGTTTTCCTCTAGCCGTCCTGACTCTCGCATTTGTGGAACCTGCTGCTGTTGTGGTAAATGTTTTTTCTTTCACAGGAGGTGTGTTTTCGTCTCTGTCGACACAATTTAAATCTTTCAGGGGGTGGGCTTCCAACTGTGCCTGACAGAGCCAACCAGTGCAGGCAGAGAGAGAGAGAGGATAAGATAAGATCAGATAAAAATAAGATAAGATCAAAACAAGATAAGATAAGATAAAACAAGATACGGTAAGATAAGTTTATACCTTTTCTCCCTGTGAGACAAGATCAGATAAGATAAGATAAGATAAAAACCCAATACGATAAAATAAGATTGATACTTTTTATCCCTGTGAGATAAGATAAGATACGATACGATACGGTGCGATAAGACAAGATAAGATAAGATAAGATGATACTTTATTGTGCCTGTGGGAAATTGTTCGTGCCTGTATAGGCACACACTTCAAGTTGTATATTGCTACCAGTAAAGAATTCCAGTAAGAAGAGTATGAAAAGGGGGACTAGAAAACAACATATGTTACATCGGATGCACCTCTCAGACCATTATATGCATGAACTTATCACATATTTTATAGTTACTGAGCTTACTTCTGTTCTTGTATCTTTTACCACTGATAAAAATTAATTAGACCTTAGAGGTTACTTCTTCTGGCCCCATGCGGGAAAGCAGAACTTGGAAGAAATGTTTGTAGCGTGATCAGGATTTAGCCATCAAAACAGACTAATTACTTCATTTAACTTTACAGTGCAAAGTTAACATGCTTTTATAGGCGTATGGTGGTTTGACTACCCGACTTGAGCCACAGGTCCGACGTTGTGTCGCTTGGAAAGGCACTTTATACGAATATTCGTCACGTCAACCAGGTGGGAATGGGTACCCGGCTATAGACAACGAAAGATCTTGTCAGTATGTTAGTTGGTATTATAGTGTTCTGTATGCTTTCCAGGAAGTTGAGATTGATTCAAAATGCTATCAGGTCTGCTGGGGAAATAATATGGATTGTAAAGCGCACATAGAGCTTGCTATTTTTTTGTAAGTGTTTTACGGCGCTCGCAACTGCATAAGTCATATGAGCGTGCAGGACACAGTAAGCATTTTCAGTTTTTGGAAATTTTGAATTTTGCTAAGGCGGCGGCCGAAGCCTACTCTTATCGATTTCAGACCACCAAGGGATCTTTAACGTGCGTAACTTGCACACGCGACCTCCGGGATTTTTCGCCCTTATCCGAGAAGGCTAGGTGTAGATCTTTCCTACCAGAGGATCAGGGGTGTGGCTGAAAGACTGCAGTAAGAAGGAGCCATGGAGTAGTAGTAGAAAGGTTGCCAAAAAAGAGTCAGAAGCACAGAGAGGAAGAGAAAATATGTGTGTGTGTGTGTGTGTGTGTGTGTGTGTGTGTGTGTGTGTGTGAGTATGTGTGTGTGTGTGTGTC